CGCTCCCCTCCTCTTCCCTCCTTCATCCTGGGCTATAGTTGTGTTTTATTATTCTTATGAAAGTGTGGGTGATTTCAGATTGGTTTCATAATAGTACTGAGTACTTTTTTCTTACATTCTTGAGATTCTTTACTAAGAAGAATATGTTCCAGCTCCATCCATGTAAACATAAAAGAGGTAAGGTCTACATCTTTTTTAAGGCTGCATAATATTCCATGGTGTACATATACCACAATTTATTAATCCATTCATGGGTCAGTGGGCACTTGGGCTTCTTTCCTGACTTGGCAATTATAAACTGGGCTACAATAAACATTCAGGTGCAAATATCTTTGTTGTAAAATGATTTTTGGTCATCTGGATATATACCTAGTATAGGAATTGCAGGATTGAATGACAGGTCTACTTTTAATTCCCTAAATGTTTCCAAACTTCTTTACAAAAGGAACATAATTAACTTGCATTCCCACCAGCAGAGCAGAAGTGTTCACTTTTCTCCACATCCATGCCAACATCTGTAGTTTTGGAATTTTGTGATGTGGGCTACTCTTACTGGAATTAGATAATATCTCTAAGTGGTTTTGAGAAAGGGGATTGCTTCTGATCAAGAAACACACTTCACAATCAAAAAAGTGTAGCAGTAGTTTCTTGCTCATGAACTTCACTGGTTTTCCCATATTTCCTATCCTCCTGAAGCAGCTGGTTTGTGAGAAAACATTGAACAGTCTTTCAGATACTCAGTTACAGCACTACCATACCTTGCAAGACTGGAACAAGGTTCTCCAGAAGGCTCTATGGGCTCTGAATCAGCATCCAATACATTGTTGTAATTTCAGTAACCAGTATTTGTAGGGTAAAAGTGGGAATCCACCACCCCCTCTTACTCCCAGTTATCAACTAGCAGCATTTTTGCTTCCTTTCCCATGACCACATATGCCTTTGGCCTAAAGTTCTTACTTCAAAAGGGAGAAATGTTTCCATCAGGACACAAAGCAATGATTTTACTGAAATAAAAGTTAAAATTGCTGCCCAGACATCTTGGACTCCTCATGTCTCTGAATCAAAAAGGAAAGAGGACAGTTACTGTGTGACCAGAGTAATTGATTCTGACTACCCAAGGAAAACTAGACTGCTCCTCTACAATGTAGGCAAGGAAAATTATGTCTAGAACACAGATCTCTTAGGGTGTCTCTTAATATTGCCACATCTGGTAATTAAGGTCAATGGCAAGCTACAATAACCCAGTCAAGAAAGTCTAGGTCACCCCATCAAGTAAAGAACCATATCCAGTTAGTGAGCACGCTCAAGACAAAGGAAATTCCAAATGGGGAGGCGAAAAATGTGGTTACGGATACCAACTATGACCATGTGACCAGTTACAGAAGTATGACTGTCAGGGATATTTCCTTATTTGTTATGCACCTCTTGTGTGTTTGTGTGTAAATACCTTTGCTTTCTTTCCTCTCATATTTTTTTATCATGCAACCTTGCATGTATTGACTTTCTATCTCAGAATTTAAGTAGTATTAATTTTATATCACAGTATTTTAGTTCTGGGATATTAAAAAGAAGAGTAATCATCACTCCAGGATGTTACCTCCTCTTCTGGTGAAGGGTTTAGTACACTTTTGGATGTGAACAGGATAGTTGTACTATGGTAGGCAGATTTAGGACCACTTATTGTCTTTATTTGGAGATTAGCGTGGTTTAAGGAGGTGTTTACAGGTTCCGAGTTGAAAACGGGTGGACTTGTGATAGCTAATTCCATGTGTCAATTTGACTGGGCCAGACATCTGGTGAAACACGATTTCTGGGTATGTCTCTTAGAGAGTTTCTGGAAGAAATTCGTATTTGAATCAGCAGACTGAGTAAAGCAGATTGCATTTCCCTGTGTGGGTGGGCATGATCCAATATGTTGGAAGTTTGAATAGAACAAAAAAGTGGAGGATGGGAGAATTCACTCATTCCGCTTGTTTGAGCTGGGCTATCAGTCTTCTCCTGCCCTTGGACTGGGACTTGTACTGTACTACTGGTTGATTTAAACTGAAATTTACACGTAGGGTCTCCTGTTCTCAGGCCTTCTGATTAGGTCTAGATCTTATACCAGCAGTTCTCCTGATTCTCAGGTCTTCGGATTCAGACTGCAAATATACAGAATCATACCATCAGCTTTTCTAGGTCTCCAGCTTACAGATAGTAGATTATGGAACTTCTTGGCATTCATAGTTCAATGACACAATTCCTTTTAATGAATCTTTTTATATGTTACTATATAATATATGTATGTGTGTGTGTGTGTGTGTATACACATACGTGCATTTCATCCTCTTGGTTCTGTTTCTCTGAAAAACCCTGGCTAATTACAATGTTCTTCAGTAGGTGAATGGATAATCTATGGTACACTCAAAGAATAGAAAATTTTCAGTGGATAATAATTTTCAGTGCTAGAAAAATGTGTTATCAGATCATGAAAAGAGGTGGGAAAACCTTAAATGAATATTGCTAAGTGAAATAATACTGTGATTTCAACTATATGGCACTCTGGAAAAAAATAAAACTATAGAGACAGTAAAAAGATCCCCCCACCAAGGGCTAAGGGAGGGAGGGATGAGTTGTATGAACACAGAGAATTTTCAGGTTGGCAGAACTATTCCTTATGACAGACAGTGGTGGACACACACCATCATGCATTTCTCAGTAGCCACAGGATGTACAACATCTGTAGTGAATCCTAATCTAAACTCTGGACTTCGAGTGATAATGTGTCAGTGTAGGTTATAAGTTTGTAGATTGAATCAGATCTACCACTACAGTGTGGGATGTTTATAGTAGGAGAGGGTTTGCATTTATAGGAGCAGGGAATTATTTTTGTTTTCTGCTCACTTTTGCTGTAAAGTTAAAACTTATTTAAAAAATAGTCTATTTAACAACAACAAAAAGCTTACCTGGGATTTGGATTAGAGGTGGCCATATTCTATGAAGATCTTAATGTTGACATTGCATATTCAGTCATCAGTCATTTTCACATGAGAGTTTGATAACAAAAGAAATCATGTAACACTAATTTAATTAAATAACTTAATTTTTAGACCATAATAAAAATACCATATTCTTTAAATGAAGTTAGTTTGAGGAAGAATAGGAAATTATGAAATTTGAAATCAGTATTAATGACATTTGAATCTGTTAGACAAAATTTAGATATAATTATTGTTTGATAATGTTTAAGCCTTTAAACAATTTAATTAATTTTGGGTAGTAGAAATTGGAAGAGAGAGAATTGTTTTTCATTAAAGTAAAATGTATAACCATATATTATAATGTCTTAAACTGCTAGCGATTTCAATATTTTAATAGATTCATTTAGCTCTAAATGTCTTCAAGCAGATTGTAAATCCTCCAAACTCCCTGCTTTGTAATATAGCCTGTTAACATATTCATTGTCTTTCTATGATAAGTTCACTGTTGCTATTCCATTAGTTTGTCTTGTGATTTATTTCAAAGATAAAATGAACGCCTTCGCTTTTCATTCATGACTATTTAATCCTAATTTTTAAATCAAAATTTGATGGCAATTATTACCTACTTATATGCATTCTTTTGTGTTTCTACATATTTTTCTTTTTTACAGTAAATCCTACATCCTGACAGCATCATTAGAAATATTTTATCAATAATTATGTTTGGACAGATTCCCTTTTCTGAGGTCAGTTTCTTAATAGTCTCTTAATAATCTACACTGAATATTTTTAGGCTTAGAAAAGATTTTGCTGACACATTACGGAAAAAGGGTTGAACTTGCCAAACTTTTCTCTGTCTTTCCTATAACCCATTTTCTACCCTTAGATGGTGTTGTAATATTTGACAGAGTGAATTTACGAGTAACCCCACAATTTAAATGGAATCCCAGCCACATATGGTGTGACTGTTGAAAGAGAGGTCTGTCAATGAAAGGCATGACAGAAGCCATATTTATGATAGGGTATTTATAAGAGACCCTATAAATATTTCAATCATAAGAAAGTATTGCAAAGAAGATTATATTTGGCAAAAATGTTCTGCCTTTCTGAATCTTAACTTTGAAAGCAGTAAAATGAAAAGAGAATTATTTGCCTCCAGGATTGTACTGACAATTAAATTGGAAAATGTAAGTGAAAATCTAGCATTAATCATAAATACTTTATAAATATCAAATCTCAAGATAATTAATAATTTTATAGTCAGAGCTATGAGAGAAATACAGGATATGGCAAAAGTTTCCCCTAAAGTCTCCATACTTCGAGAAAATAAAAAGTGGTAACTAAAAAGGCGCCAGCCACATACACCTAAGGTGGCGGGTTCGAATCCCCAGCCCGGACCCGCCAAACAACAATGACGGCTGCAACCAAAAAATAGCC